AGAAAGAACAAAAACAGTTCCCCAGCTTCAGCCCAGGGCAGCTAAGAACCAAGACAAACGAAAGGTATTGGGTTTGCTCAGTGTCTGGGCATAAACATGGACGACATAGCTAAGTAGGCACGTTTTCTTTTATTTTTAATCAAACATTAAAAAAAAAAAAATCTAAATAGCATCAGAACTCTCCCAGCAAGAACAGGTGAAGTGTGGCCAAGAAATGTCTGCGACAGAAAAGTAACAAAGAGGCACTTGTCTACCGGATATTAGAACATCATTCAACCTCCAATCATTGCGATGGGTGGTACTGGCAGGAGAACAGACAGACCGACGGAACAAATAGGAAGTCTGAAACGCACCCAGGGACTCAGTTTGGGGACCAGCATCCGGACTGTAAGGGAACGAGAGGGCTTCCCCCACCGATGGTACCAGACCGTGCACCAGTCGGGGAAACAGGAGGTGAGTGTCTCTACCTCTTCCAGAATCTGAAGGGGGAAAAAAAGTTACTTTTAAAACTCTCTCCTGAGTAATCCATTTCTGAGCTTAGAGGAAAAAAAACTAAAATCAAAAAGGAAGAGCAATGAACTGCATGACAATTTAACTTCTATGTATCAAACAACATTTTTTTTTTTTTTTAAAATATGAGTGGATATTTTCCCACTTATCTTCAGATAGAATGGGAGGGAGGGGGAGAGAGACACACACACAGAAACATCGATGTGAGAGAGACACATCGACTGGTTGCCTCCTGCATGACCCTGACCAGGGCCAGGGACCAAAGCGCAACTGAGGTACGTGCCCTCAACCGGAATCGAACCTGAGACTCTTTGGTACACAGGCCGATGCTCTAACCGCTGAGCAAAACCAGCCAGGGCTCAAACAACACAGTTTTTTTAAAAAAAGAAAAAATATGGGGAAACTATGAAGTGCAGCTACTAATAGACTGCCGGCATAATACATTCCCATGGAAGTAGAATGGTACCATTCCCAAGTAACATCACCCAGAAGACGACCGCTTTGCAGATGAGTAAAGTAACTGTTTTCTTCATTTGTAGAACCCTCAAGGAATCTTTCCTTAAGATGCTCTCAGACCTCCAACACTATACTACCTTCAGAGGCAAATCTCTCGATTCCTTTCTAAAGTCACGACATTGATGAAGCTAAGGGTACACCCACCTGTGTGTCCAAAAGCGTCCTCAAAACCCTTCCTGTGCAAAACCAGCGCTCTGCTGATGCGCCTCCTTCCCGGCCTCAATCAGTTCCCTTTAGGCTCCCCATCTCAAGGCGAAATCCTAGAAGTCACTGCTGATTCCTCTGTGCTCGCTCCTCACCGGCATTCCGTCAGCAGGTCTTAAACTCTGGCTCCAGCCTGCAGCTATCCAGGGACCAGCACCTTCTCTCCATCTCCACGACCACCAGCTCCAGCCACCCCTCCCTCACCTGGACCACCTCCTAACATCTCCTTGCTTCCCTACGATCCATTCCCCACACACTAGGCAAAACGAACTGCTCACAACACAATGCAGTCGCCTCCCTTGCCTGCCTAAACCCTCGGAGGGTGATTCACTCAGAATGAAATTGCACCAGAGCTCAGCTAGGCCTCCGTCCTCTTTCTTCCGGTGTCTTTCCGGCTGGTTACTGCCTGTAATTTACCAGCTCTCCCCTCGAGTGCTCATCAGTGACATTCACAACCGGTTGCCCATGATCAGGTCTCAGCCCAGACACCACGTTCTCTGAGGTCTTCTTCCCCCAACCACCTAAAATATGACCCCACCCCACCCCGCCCACACTCTGCTCTATTTTTTCCACAGCACCCATCACAGTCGGACACCCCCCTGTAGCATCTGCCCCTCCCACTGCAACAGCAGCTCCATGACAAGCATCTCCACCGTGTCCCCAACACTCAGAGTCCGGTTCAGAGGGGCAAGGCATGTCCTTGTGAACAAGGGCGCAAATCCTAAGTGATGTATCTGAACTTTTTTTTTATTCTCACCCGAGGACATTTTTTTTTTTTTGCATTTATCTTCAGATAGAGCAGGAGAGAGAGAGAGAGACATCAACGTGTGAGAGACACATTGAGTGGCTGCCACCCACACGACCCCAACTGGGGCTGGGGACAAACTGCAACCGAGGTACGTGCCCCTAGTGGGAACCGAACCCGGGACTCTCTAGTCCGTGGGCTGATGCTCTAACTACGGATCTAAACCGGCCAGGGCTGTATCTGAACATTTTAATGAATCTGGATCACTCAGGGCTGATGGAAGAAGTCAGCCCTGGATGGTCCCTGATCGGCTACACTTTGAATTTTGTTTTGCTTGTTTTTAAAAATTGGTGTCTTGCCTGCTCTGAGTTGTCATGGCAGTGCTACCATCCCTTGGTGGCCTCTCTCCCTACTTCAAGCATAGGGAAGCAAAAGGCGTAGCGATGGGGCTGTCCCATCGTTAAATGTACTCGTTTCAATGCAGACAGGCATATCGACTAAGTGTGTTTGTTTTTTAAGCTCCTTTCTGGATCTACCTTCTGACATTCCCAATACTGTACCATAAAAGTATACCATAATGCCAGCTTACTGAACAGGTCGGCATCTCCTTCCACTCAGAAGCCAAAGGCTGATTTTATTTTAAAAAGCAAAAACACAACACACTGGAGTTTTTTCCAAGGTAAACAACGAACCCGCCTCTTAGGAGAGATCATACCCAGCGGCAAACGCGAGCTCTACCTTGTGCTGAGAGATTGCAGCTGACTTTTACACCCAGTTGTGCATGAGATTTATGATTTCAGAGCTGAGCATGGACTTCTGGCCCAGGCTGCAAAGCACAGCAAAGTCATAATCATAAGTTACACCCTCTAACCTCCATCCAATTCAGGCCTGCCTCAGAAGTTCCTTACGGCTAAAATCGTCCCGTGCCGTCTCTTGCAGCCAGTCTAAACACAGGGTTGACAGCTGAGAAGCGGAGGACCTTAACAGGCAGGGCAGGTCCACCCTCAGGCTCCAAGTAACTGTAACTTCTTAAGATCAGAGAGATAGAAAAGGTTAGCTGGAGAGCTGACAGAGTGACTGGACAGGATACATTGTTTCCCCCTACGGTTCTCCTTTATCAGAAAGGCAGAGTTGTCACAAAGGAGGAAGATGGGATACACTGTTTCTAGGTAAGGGTTTTCCTTTATCAGAAAGGCAGAGTTGTCACAAAGGAGGAAGATGGGATACACTGTTTCTAGGTAAGGGTTTTCCTTTATCAGAAAGGCAGAGTTGTCACAAAGGAGGAAGATGGGATACACTGTTTCTAGGTAAGGGTTTTCCTTTATCAGAAAGGCAGAGTTGTCACAAAGAAGGAAGGGGCGGGGGAGCACAGAGGGTAAATTGTGTTTCCACTTTCCCCTAACTGCCCCAAAGAAAACAAACAAGGGGATGAAATCTCAGGTCTAAAAAAGATGAAGTAGCAGATTTGGAAAGAGGCCCAAAGAGGTCAAGCCTGGGTTTTGGGACAAGATCATCTCCAAGTGTAAAACATGAGATTCAGTCTGCATTACATTTTCTGAGTATAACTGAAACCCTACTGGTTTGCATATACTGCTTTCGTATCCACGACAATGTATCTGTTTGGGGAGGGGGGTAAAGATTCACACCATCTACTATATGAACCAGCTACTTTGATAGCGGTCCCCAATGTTGTACAGTCACAGGACTTGTCACCAAAGTGCAGTCATGTGGGTGTACTTTTAAAACCATGCTGTAAGCAATTTATGGAGCTCATCCTCAACTTCTGATGTGGGTATTTCTCTTGTCGAAAGGCACAATTTGCATCACATTTTCTGGGTAATTCACGGTAGATCTGGGGAGCAGAAAACCTTGACCTGAAGGTTTCCAAATTGAGACTTTGGGCTCCATTTCCACTATGGCATTCTAAGCTTTTCAAAGTCACTCAGGATCCCGCTAGACAAGATCCTAATGGAAGCACAGACACTTGCTACTTCTCTGTTACCCTCTCTACAATACACTACATTCTCCCTTGGAGGAACGGAGATCCGTATAAACTTTCCCCCTCACAACATGGAATGCCTGCACATTCAGACCAGGGCTCGATTTAAAAGCTGAAGTCACAAAGGTATTGGTGGTAAATCAAGAACCAACAGCAGCCAGCTTGGCCTTGCTCAACACTGACTACTCAAGAAGTTCATTCCCAGAGGGCCTCTCAGGACTGCTTTGCCCTGCAGCACTTCTGTAACTTGACACGTGTGAGGTTTCCCTCACACCCCATTATGAATGTACACCCCTCTTCTACCTCCAATTCACTGCAATACAAATCTGCCATTCCCAAATCATCTCCCTTCTAAAGACGACTTTGGCTAATCCCTTTGCTAATCCTGAACATGATTCCAGGCACTTTTATGACTCATCTGGCCAACTAGGGCCCAGACGCTGGATAACATCACTAAACTGGGCTAGTTAACACCAACTCGACCACAGGCCAGGAACTGCTCCCCCAAAGACTCTCTTTCCATTCCCTGAGCAGACTGGTGTGCTCGGCGTGCAGTGGGCACCCCTTTCACTAACAGGACTGCTGTCAGGAGTGGAATCTGCATGTTGGCCACGGAAGGGGTCTAACCAGGTTCATTCACATGGGCTCTAGTTCTGCAAGGGCCAAGGCGGCAGATTTCAGAGACTCAAATAATCACCACCACTGTTACAGGTAAAGAGTTTTTCTAACAACGTTATGAGAGGGGTGAGGACCAGTTAACAAAGGACAGGGTTTGGACATGGAAAACTGAAGTGTCTTGCATAGTCAGGGTGGGGACCACACCCACAGGGGACACCCTGGTCCAGCTGACCCCAAAGCCCACGCTCTTGAGCGTTGAGCGCAACATCCTGCCTCTGACCTCTGCTGCTAAAGCCTGGCATCCCCGAGGGGTACCCGGGGAGCCTCGGTTCCTGAAATCAGGTAACGGCATGAGCCATGGGACGATCTGCAGGGCCGCCGGCCAGGATGCTGGATGCCAGGTCTCACCTGTAGACGGCCACGGCGCGGGTCTGCAGGTATTTCTGGGCGGTCATGACTCCCACGAAGAGAAAGTTCCTGTCGCGCGGGCCGCCATCCGAGGCCGAGCCGTGCGGCCAGAGCTGCGCCCCGCGCGCATCGCTCCGCGCCCCGCCGACCTGGGAAGCCGCCGCCGCCGCCTGCCCGGGCCGGCAGCCCTCGGGGCTGGCGCGGCGCCGCGGGCCCGCTCGCTTCAGCTCGGAGGCGCGGGGCAGGACCAGCCGCGAGGCCAGCACGAAACCCAGCACGAGCCCGAGCAGCACGCTGAGCCAGGCGCGCCGGCCGCGCACGGCCATGTCCGCGCCGCTCCGCCCGCCGGGCCGCCGCCGCCGCCGGCTCCGCGCGCCCTCCGCTCGCCGCCCCCGCCCGCGGAGGCCAGCCCGCCCTAGCGCCGCGAGGCCCGGCCCGGGCAGCGCCGCGGCCGCCGCGGGCCCGCCGCGCCCATCGCGGCCCCCGAGCCGCCCGCAGGCCCCGCGCCGGCGCTTTGTTCCGCACGCGCCCCGCCGCGGCCTGCGCCTTTAAGACGGGACCATGTCCGGCGCGCGCCGGCGGCTCGGGCGCAAGGCGGCGGCGGCGGCGGCGGCCGCGGAGGCGGCTCCTCCCGCTCGCGCGCGGGGGCGCGGGGCCAGCGCAACGGCGACTGCAGTGGCGGCGGAGTCCGGGCCCCCGCTCCGCCCCGCCCGCGTCCCCCGGCCGGCTCGGCTGCGATCGCGCTGCGCCCGTGCCCGTCCTCGTCGTGCCCGGCGCCGCCGCAGCTGCACATCCTCCGGCTCAGCTCGCCATGGCAGCAGGAGCCCCTCACGTCACGCACGGCGCGTTATGAAGCCGTCGGGAGCGAGGAGTCGTGGCCCCTCTCGGGATCCGTCCGCGCCGTCCGATTGGTGCAAAAGTGAATGGGGGGCGGTTCACGTGGCCAAAGTTTGACCAAAAAAAAAAAAAACACCCCTCCTGGCGCGCGCGGCGCCCCACCCGCGCGGTCTGCGCGGTTCCGCCGGGCGGAGGGGGCGTGGGCCGGGCTCGGCGCCGGCGGGGACCCGGCCCCCGGCGCCCGCGCAGCCCGTTATCTGCCTGGGGCCACGCCCCCCGGCCCGCGCTCCGGCCCCCGGGCGTCCCATTCGTGCCCGCTGCGTGGCCAACGTGGGGAGGGCTGTGTGAAGACCGGGCTTTCGGTCCCCACGCTGTGCCGGAGCGGCGGGCCCGGGAGCAGAGTGTCCTCAGATCAACCCGCCGTCCACGCCCTGCCCTCCAGCCGGGCGGACCTGGGCGCCCCGGCCCCGCGCCGCCCGGTTCACACTGTCCCTTTGTTCCCGCCGTCCTGTGGGCTGGACGCGCACGTATAGAATCAACAGCCCGGGAGCCGTTTGAGACGTGCACGCTTTGGGGGCGGGGGGGTGCGCCGTGAATTCACTGACCTTGTTCCCTGTCACTAGTTTTTAAACTTAAAAAAAAGCGAGCGTGTTTCATGTCCAAGCTCCTAACAGTACCAGCCTTTAATGGATGCTGAATAAATGGTAGGTGATGTTCCCACTTGGGTGTTAAGTCCGCCTTTTATTGACATTCTCGGCCAGCAGATAGTCCGCTAGTACCCTCACCCGGAGCGTTGTGGACATTTGAACATGGCCCGTCTATAAAAGGAACGTGGATTTCTAAAGATAGGTTTTGGATGTCAAATTTTATACATTGCTTCTTAAAAACCAAGCAACAAACAAGAAACAGCCAGGCAACAAAAGCTGAGAAAGTTCCCACACGGCAAATGTTTGTATAGAGGAAAATACGAGGCGGGGCAAAAGTAAGTCTGCAGTTGTGAGCTCGTGGAACACAGTTTATTCTTGTATTGTTACTTATTAATGTATTGTTTTCCATACGAACAGAACAGCTGTATGTCTACTTTTGCCCCTCCCTGTATTAGTCTTGTTACTTAGTCGCCAATGTGCTGGGGTTTTCTAATGAAACTTTTGGACAGCAAAATATTTTCCTGGGCCTGACAGGTCCCCTTCATTCATTGAATCAGATGAACCCGGGACTTAAAGACAGAAAATAATTGTACTTGGGGGAATCCTTGGGTCTTTCCTCATTGTTACCATGACCACGTGATTGAAATATTACATAATTTAAAGTGCTCGGTTGTGGAACACACACCAGTTCTCTTGTTTATTCTTTGGATAATGCCACTTTCTTGGGCACTTGTGATTTATGTCAAAAATAGTCCATCACCCACCTTCCCGCAGATACCCTCCCTAAGCGGTGATCCGTGTCTAAAATTACTCATTATGCAGTGAATACGGCAGTGGTCATGGGAAAACACAGAACACACAACCATGAATTACAGGCTCAAAAACCATCCAGATGGGGTTTTAGTAAGACCATAAGCCATAAATACTGACTAGTCACCAGATCCCCCAACTTCAGCAACACCCTCATAATTCACCATGGTTTCCATAAGGCACACATCTGACAGGATACAGATGTTTAATTTGGTGACATACTTCCTTATTTCAGTATTCTAATATCTTTTCAACTTCTCTGTATTTCTTCTCCTAGACTGAAACCCAATGGCAAGTACATAAAGGTGGGATGAGAATGGACATTTGGAGGATGCCCAGTCCCCTGATTCCTAGCTGTCCCTCAGTTCCCAGGTCAACAGCCTCACCTACCTCACCGGCAGATGCAGTGGGAGGGTTTCCTTGGTAACGAAGAGAACATGCCCTATTCTCCCTAAAGGCTGAGCCGGGAGGTTTAGAACACGCAGGTCAAGGAGAAAGTGACGTAACGTAGCTGAAGTCCTCCCAGGAGCAGCGAGGAGGGCCAGGCCAGGGGACGGGGAGAGGAAAAGAAGGAGACAGGGGACCTTGAGCAGTCAGCCAGGGGCACCAGGAGCCTTCACGCTGCTGCAGGGCAAGTATAGCCTGGGGAGGGGGGACTCTAGCTCAGCAGGAAGCAGCAGCTGGATGGTCAAGTTGAGGCAGATCTCCTGCAGAGGGATCCAACAGTGTCCAGCAAGAGCCCCTGAAGAAACCAGAATCAGGGGTCAGAGTTGTCCTAGGTGGGTGGGGCTTTCACAGCCCAGGCAACTGCCTGGGACCAAGGAATCAGTGACAGCCAGAGGCCCAAAGGAGCAGATGAGACCAGTAGGGAGACTGGCCCCACCAGCCCCTGCACAGCCAATGGTGGCCAGGATCCCGGGAGGAGGCCCCTCCCACCCCCAGTGCACACAGGCACCTACCCCCAGCCTCCTGGAGACCAGGGCAGGGCCTCCTCCTCCACGTTGCCCTCTCCTTGGTTTTTAAGGGCTAGAAGAAGTCAGGTTGATGGGATTTCTTAGGCATTTCACCTCATGAAACCGAAGAAAGAACTTTGTCTCCATTCAGCTGCACCAGGAGCCCACACTGTTAAGTTGAGGGAGTCGCGGACCATTTCTCCCATTTAAAAAAGGAGTGTCCTGCCCTGGCCAGTGTGGCTCAGTCGGTTGGTTGAGCATTGTCCCATGAACCAGAAGGTCGCTGGTTCGGTTTCTGGTCAGGGCATGTGCCCGGGTTTTGGGCTCCATCCCTGGTGGGGGAAGGGCGGGGTGAGGAGGGCAGCCAATCGATGTTTCTCTCTCTCCCTCTCCCTTCCTATCTCTTTCTCTAAAATCAATAAAAACATACATATATTTTTTTAAAAAGACCTTAACCATAATGAGAGAGACTTGTAGAGGAAAAGCCAAGGTGCAGTTCAATGATAAGACTGACTGGCACAGACCCTGCCCAGGAGGGGTCCTGGGCTGGACGAGGGACACAGAGCCTGGGTGCTCACCTCCTTCCCACACGAAGGAAGTCCCATCTGGACAAGCTGCATGCCCACTCAGATCTGTTTCCTCATCTCTAAATGGATGTGTTCCACTACCTCATGTTCAAAGTTCCTCCTCTGATTCTCGGCTGATGTTAAGAAATTTGTTGAAAAACACGTCCTCTGATGTCCTTTCTGTTTTGGTGCCTGTGACTCCCCACGGCGTGTCAGTAAAGCTGATTTCCAGGGACATTACTGACCCTTCTGTCGCCCACAGCAGTGTCCCCTCCGTGTTCCTTTTCTTTCTGTGGCTGATGCATTGAAGGCCTGTTACAGGTATACCCTTTTATATCCTGTGCAGCGATTTCTTGGACGCCCTTAGTAAATGCCTTGATTGCTCATTGGCAGCAAGTTGGGAACACACCGGAGGCAGAGATCCCTGTAAGGGCTTCTCTGAAGAGGATGCTCCTGGGCTCCCACCTAAAATGGGGGCCTGCAAAAAGGGGGGATAATTTTTTAAAAACCTTTAGATAGACTTCTTTTAAAAAACAGAAAATGCAGGCCCTGGCTGGGTAGCTCAGTTGGTTTAGAGCATGGTCCTGATAGGCCAAGGTTGTGGGTTCGATCCCTGGTCAGGGCACATACAAGAATCAACCAGTGAATGCATCAATAAGTGGAACAACAAATTGATCTCTCTCTCAAATGAATAATTAAAACAAACAGCCTGGCTGGTGTGGTTGAGCATCAACCCATGCACCAAGAGGTCGCCAGTTCAATTCCCGGTCAGGACACATGCCCAGGTTGTGGGCCAAATCCCCAGTGGGGGGCATGCAGGAAGCGGCCAATTTATGTTCTCTCTCATCGATGTTTCTATCTCTCTGCCCCTCTTCCTTCCTCTCTCTCTAAAATCAATAAAGAAAAAAACAAACAAACAGAAAAAGTGAACGCTGAGGAGTTATAATAAGCCACCCTATTTGAACTCTGTTCATCGCCGTCAAAGACAAAACTCCATAATGTACATTTCACTCATGTTATCACTTAACTTCTGTTAACCCCACAACACTTTGCTTTATTTTATTTTATTTTTTTTATCCTCATTCGAGGACATTTTTGCATTTATCTTCAGATAGAGTGGGAGGGAGAGAAGAGGGGGAAGAGAGAGAGAGAAACATCGATGTGAGAGAGACACACCGAGGGGTTGCCACCCACACGACCCCATCCAGGGCTGGGGACAAACTGCAACCAAGGTACGTGCCCTTAGCGGGAATCGAACCCGGGTCTCTCCAGTCCGCAGACCGACGCTCTAACCCCTGAGCCAAACTGGCCAGGGCCACTTTGCTTTATTTTTAATACTGCAATTTAAGGTCCTCAGTAGCTCATTAATTTTGCTCAATATTTCCTTCCATTTGCAGCATTTCTAGCCAGACACAGGGAAGGGCAAATGATTACAGCTTACGCTCTGGCCCCAGACACGGGTGGAGCTGACACTGGTGCTTCTAGAATGTTCTTCATGTTTCCTTGGTCTACTTCCCAGCT